TTTTGGAAATTCTATAGCTTGTAATGCTGAATAACAATTATCAATAATTAATGTACGAATTTGTGTACCAATATTTGGAAGTATTTTTGAACATAACTCATATGATTGTGTATATGATGCTTTATGTAATGATACATGACGATAATAATCACTTATCATACATGTTATACGTGTATTGAGATTATCAAAACTTATTAAAACATCGACACATAATAGATATTTACAAATTTCTAATAGAAGTTCATCTGGTAATGATTCAAAATTTGAAATAAAACTCATCGACAGAGAAATTTCCAAGTAATGCTCGGTTTTTTATATCTTCAACAAATACTATGCGTTATATATATAGAAAAGAAACATTATTCGTCATAATAAAAATATTCTTTTTTTCTGTTTTATTAATAACCTAATGATTTTATAATTCTCAATGACGAGTAATTGTTCTCTTTTTTAGTTTTACTTCAAGAACAGAAAATCTTGACTAAGTACTTTTTCATAAAGATAATTAGTATTTTTGATTAGTTGTAATCAAATTAACATAAATGAACTCACCGAATTTTCATTAAATAAGATGCTTAACATAAGTCAATAACAGCATACTATTACTGAAGTATCTGTTTTTCTCAATAAAAATTCAATAATTATCTTAAATAAGATCAATTTAATTTTATGAATGAAACATTTAAAAGTTGATTTGTTTAAATTATCGCCTATTAAAACTAATCTGAATTCTTTTTCAAAGAATAAACAGAAATTTGAGTTTGATTTATTCAATACATGACGATACATTATTTTGATTTTATAAGATTTTTCTGCCAACATATCTTTAAGAGTATTATAAAAATATTTGATATATAAATCATACCTAGTTGAAAATAAGCATTTATATGGTTTCAAATATAGAGTAGAAGACATGAAGTATACTTTAGTATGGGTTTTTTTCTTAATGAAACCATCATATGAATCTTTCTTTTTTTTTTTTTTTGAATAATTTATTCTTTTAAACTTGCACTCAAAACAAAAAAAAGCTCTTAAGATACACATTTTTCACTAAAAATAGAATTGAAAATGCAAGCTACATAATTACTATCTTTGAAGAAGTACTAGTCGATGTAATGATAAAATATAAGAATAAGACAAAAATAAATTTGTCCGAAAGATACATGTTGAATATATTTTTATTGCTTCTATATTTCATCAATCATTTCAAGTATATGAGTTTTTTGAAAAAATATTTTTTAAGTTTAACATAATATTTATTCGAATTTCATTTAGAAAAATCTTTATTTGAAAATATAAAAAGTAACACATAGATGGCGTTAATTATCAAGCAATATGATATTAAGGATGAAACGAGGACTTTTGCAGAATGTAGAATTTTTCTTAAGATATTATCTGACTCATGTGACAAATCCTTCAACTGTTCGATTACTTTTGAGATAAGACTATGTGTATTATGTAAATCGAAATGAACTATGAATATTCTGAAAAAACTTTCTATGTAAAGTCTCAATTCGGAATTCGAAAATCAATTTTTCTGTTACCACGGCATTTATTTTAAAAAATACCGTAAAAGTACAATAGCTTTATAGCAATAATTTAAGAACATGAACTTTTTTTTTACAGTACTTTCAAAGCTTATTTGGATCTATATAATGCGCTTAGTTTCGACTCAAAAGCGATTGAACAATTCGTGGACCTCTCGTCCGAATGAGGAAAATCGAATATTAATAGATTATCACTTAGTTCAATGAAGACAATTTTAAGATTGAATTTTTTTCATTTAAAAATAATATTAAATGAAAAAGGATTATGCTATGATAATAAAAATATAGTAATTCTGATTATTCTTGCAATTATTCATAAATGAAGACAGTTATTCCAGTAACATTTTCATATATTGATAATTATAAAAATTTATTTGTTGTTCTTTTTATGGATTAAAACTCGACATTTTGAACATTTTTTCTTTTTAAATTATCACAAAAAATTACTATGACTATATTCTTTAAAAGACAATTACTAAGAACTTCTTTCTTATTTACTTATCTAAATTAAATTCAAAATCCTATAATAAAGATGATATTTGATGTATTAGTCGAAATTTTATTTATTTTTTTCTTTTCTTTGAAAACTATATTCCTTTGTGATAGATACAGCATGATATCTTAAGTACATGATCTACAGTATTCAAATGAATTGTCACATTTTTCTTCCTTCCCCTCCTATCATATTGAATCCAGTTTCCATTGTCTTTAATATGAAATGGGGAATGTCAGATTTAATACACGCAATAAATACGAACACAAAACATTTAAAAAGGATTGCACTCTGCATGATTAATCTATCATATAAACACATTATAAACAGAAAGATATTCCTGTAAAGTAGGCTACAGATCTCTCAAGCTAATTTCATTTTTTCTATTATCCAAATATGATTTATTTGAGATATGAGATAAATAACTGAAAACCGTATCTATTTTATCATTATATAATGTGTCCAGGTAGATGTAAAGGCCAAAAATGGATGTAAACACAGAAAAACAAAATGATTGTCTTCTTTGCTCATACTCATCATTCGTGATTATGAAAGAAAAACAAGCATTTTTTCTTTTTTGCATATTTATATGTGTTTTCGGCAACTTAGATCTTTCTAGAAAATATTCGATCACATTTCTAAATTTTCTTTTTGATAAAAGACTCAAGGTCTTCTATAATATTTCTCATTTTTTAATTACTTGTAAATAAAAAGATATTCAAAAACAAAATTACGACTGTTTGGAGGATTTGCAAAGATCTTTTAAAATAAAAAAGATGACAAAAAAATCATTATAGCTTCAATCTTCATTGGTTTTCAACTAAAAGTCTAAAAACCTAGACCTATTTTCGATTAAACATATTAATTAAAGCTTCAATTTCTTTATTTATTCTATAATTAAGGTAAGTTCTTCTATGATTAGATGATGTTACTTACTTTTATACTTTTGATTAGTATATTTAGTAGGAAATGACAAACATTCTTTTAATTAACTTCACTCTCTTCGTTTAAATTTAAATATATATTAATACAAATTTGCGTTGTTTTCTTTTTTTTAATTCAACTGAAAATAATTTCTTTGGCTATGACATCAGCATTATCATGAAAGAGTTTATTTATAGAATATGATGAATATTCTATATGTTGAAGTGTAATTATAAATTATTAAAGCATGATAAAATAAATCGCTATGTGTATCACAATACCTTTAGATGTTTATTTTCAAGCTGAATTGTATTTAATAAATTTTATAAATCCATAAAAAAATTATTTGATTTAGTTATTGATTAAAGTTCATTGATTTTATAAAATGAGTATTTTATTCTTGATTATTTTTAGCATTTACAATGATGATGTGTTTTTCTCTAGCATTATTCTCATCACAGATGGTTTATATAGAACTTCATTAAATATAAAGAAATGACTATTGGTTGAACATATTGTAAATGAGCTAAAAATATAAAGTGGTTTTTAATATTTATGATTATATGAATCATCTTTAATTATAGAACACGGAATCTTAAATTGAATTCTTTGAATAAAAACGTCTGCTATATAACAGAGAAATCTATTGAAGCTCTACTCATTTTATAGAAATTCAGATCCCATATTTTCTCATACTTCAAACATATTGTCATTCATTTTTACTTTCTACTCAATGCGTTTTATCAAATGGTTTTTGTGCATTCTCAAGATGTACAATTACCAAAACAGATTGATAATACTATTGAATATATACATACTTTAATATTCAACCCTGATTGAAACGAAACCTTCAGTCTACGAAGAAAGCCTCCCAACTGATAAATTGTTTTTGATTCGAGAGTACGTGCATGATGCAGATCCTAATAAGGTATGAATACACTGAAAAACAAAAACTTTTGTACTCTTCTTATATATGTGTAGATACTGCATTTTTACGATACTTTTCTAATCAATGCCAAGGTCCCCCTCAAAAACACCATGTTTTTTTTTTAATTTTGACTTGAAACTTTGCAAAGAGACAGATCTTAGCGAGAGAAATTTATTGTAAAAATTTCAGATCTTTTCGTTGTTCTTATCGTAAAATACATCTATAGCAAATGGGTGTCTTTTACTTTATGCATAGATACCGGTAGTTTCAATGTTCTTAGTTTAGCATAAGAACAGATCAAAAGACTTGAAACTTTGACAATAAACTTATCTCGTTAATACCTGTCATCGGTTAAAAAAATACTGTAAAAAATGTAATATCTTCGCATCAATAAACTAAAAGGTTGTCAGTTATTTACATGCATGAATAAAACTATTCGTAAATGCTAAATGAATGTTTACATTAAAGAAAAAACAAAGTATCATCTAATCGCAAAAATCTTTAATTTACTATCCATTCTAGCATTAAAATCCAAAATTTGATACATATTTTCAATCAACACACAACTTTTATTTTTATATAAACATATGATCCATTTGTTTACTTAACAATAAACTTGTCTATTTTCTTATAATCAAAATCTATCAAAAGAAGAAACTTTTAATTTTCATTATTCATATTGTTCTCGTACAAACATTTAATTGAACTCTATATTGGACAAAAGAAAAACAAAACCCGACATGTTATATTTTTCATTTATTATCAAATATATCAATGTTCAATATGGTTTATTCATATAACAGACAACAACAAAGAGCTTGTCTTCAAATGATGCCGATCATCTCATTTTAAATTTTCAACAGATGGATATGATTATATGAGATCTTTTATGCATGAATAAACATCAAATAACTATCCTTTATGAGAGATTTATTTCTATTGAGGTTTTGTTTTTATTATTATAAATACACGAGACAGATGATGTCTCATTATGGCATGAACAATTTGAATTCACGGCAAAAGAAAAGAAAAACAAAAGAAAAAAAAAACTAAGTAATATATGCAAAAAAAGAAAAAGAAAAAGAAACAACTCAAAAAATCGAATGACTTAAGATTTATTTGAACGATGAATTTGACAACGAAGTTGAATATTTTCTTGTTTTAAATGTGCATTTTCAAGTCGAAGTTTAACATTTTCTTGTTCAAGCCAAGTAGCTCTAAAATATAAGAGAAAAAGATTAAGCAATTTTTTTTTATATCAATAAAACAATATTTTATTCATTTTTACCGTAAAGCAATTTCATCTTCTTTAGCTCGTCGTGTATCACGACTACGTTTAGCAGCTTCATTATTTTTTTTTCTTCGTTCCCAATAAATATCATCTTGATTCTTAGGTGACAATGATGATGATGATGATGTATATGATTTATAATCTTTCTCTATTGGAATAGTATTTGTTAATGTTGAACTAACATTTAATAAATGTTTATAAAATTGTTTTAAAAAATTTTCATTTGAATTTAAATAATTATCTGCTAATGAATAAGAACTAAATGGTCGTATTAATCTATTATAGTGATTTTGAATTAATAATAATGATTGTTGATTTATTTTTGCCGAAAAATCAATCGGTCCATTTTGTTGTTTTTGAATTGATTCAATAAAATATTTTAAAAATAATTCTTGTTGATTATTATTTGTATTTTCTTCATTTTGCTCCATATGATCAGCTATATCGGCTGTGATAAATCAAGCCGAAATGCGATCGATGGAATCTGAAAATAAATAAAACCAAAAGAAAAAATTATTTTCTCTTTTGAATTAACTAATAGAATATTTGATAATTCATACATTTTTGTTGAATGAAATTCATCATCAAGTATTCAGTTTGATCATTGATCACAGAATATATATATATGCATACATACTGATATCGTTCTCTATATTTTAACATTTTTCTTTCCTTCTCTCCTTTTTTTCTCTCTCTCTCTCTCGCTTTCGTATTTAATATTTGCTCATATCGCTCATGGAATGCATTAATTTTTTTTTTCTCGTCAAAAGCTTCTTGATTTAATCTTTCTTTTGTCGTTTGCGAGCGATCTAATATACTCACATTTGATTACATACGATATTCAATCATTACCTACGGGGGGAAGTTCTACAGAAAGAGAGAAAGATATTACGATAGCGTGTTGTTTCATTTTTTCTTTTTAAACGAAAGATGAATTATGCAAAATCAATCTAACGGCTATGTTCGTATAATTGATAGAGCAAATGATTACTGACCCCTATTGATTATAATGATGAAAAGTGAGGTCAACGTTTCTGTTATTTTTTTGTTTCTTTCAACATAAGACAAAAATATTTGACCATCGGCATGCTCAAGAGAAATTTAAGGTCATGTTATGTGTGAACGATCGCATGAAAGAATTAAATAACATAGCTACAGCTCTTTAGTGATCGATGTGAATAAGAGAACGAGAGCAGTACAGACTAGAAAAATATAGATTGAATCGTTATTGTTTGTACATACACATCGGCCATTGATCATTCAATAAATACTAATTACTCATATAGTATATGAAAAAGAAATATCTTAATTATTTCAAGGAGAAAAAAAAAGAGGAAGACGTCTGGTTATTTAGATAGATAAAAAAAACAATTACTAAAAGAATCAACAAAAAAATTTGATTGTGTTTTTTTTTCAGTATGATCAGTTTTCTGAGTTGATTAATATTAGCACAATAGTTCAATCATGAGAAGAACATTTAAGAGATAATATATTCATGTTTAATCTTTAGAAAATTTGTGACAATCTTGATCAAGTCGTCTCCGGAAAGGAGGAGCAATCTCTATTTAATCCACTTCTGATTGTGTGTTGATTTGTGTCTTTTTGATGTTTTAACACTTCTTTAGATCTTTTCAAATATTTGACATTCAAAAGAAAAGTACACTTATGTACGACGTCTATTCATTTAATTTTCAATGATTATCATGTGTTATATGATCCGATGAAATAATCATTGAGTAACATTGAGTGATCTTGTCACACATTGGTGTGAAGAGGTGACAATCAATAGATTGAATTCTAACTAACAGATTTTTCTTTTTATATTATCGAAAAAGAAAAAAAAAAGAACTATTACATATTATTCTAATCATGAAAATTTCGATAAAACGGATGTTTATTGCAATAAATCTAATCTGTTAATATAATCTTTACACCATCGTCATAATCATTTATAATAAATGTATTTTGAAAACAGATGCAGAGTGGAATTGAACATATATAAGAAAAAGAAAAATGAAAATGATCAATGATGATAATGAGAAAAGGTCATACTTGATAGAATAATCAATTATTAGAACATATGGTGATAATGATATTAGAATCAAATGAAAAAAACAAATGATCATCTCAAAATAAAGATAACAATCAAATTTAGAAAAAAAAGAAAAAAAGAATATTTATATTATAATTGGTATAATAAAAATAGATAAATAATTGTATGAGAAATGATCAAGCAAAAAATTTTCTTTTAAATATGTTTATAGTCAAATGTCTTTTTTGTTTTTTAAATGCTTTGATATTATTTTTAAAATGAATTCTTATTGCGAGAGACACAAACTATTGAACAAAGATCCGTTTTTCATCTTTATGAAAATTCATTAAAAAAAAGAATTTTTTCCATCCTGTCTTGCAAAATCCAGAACATTACCACTCAGTCATCCTGTTTTCTCAAACAAAAGATCCTCCTGCATCCGGCTTGCAGGACGATCTTGTCATTGCTTTTTTTTGACAAGAATATTAAATGTGTCTATATATGAGGTACAATGTCAAATGTAAATAAAATAATAATAAAACAACCATAAATATACAGAATTCAAAATGTCATCAATATAAATAGATGAACAATGTGAAGGAGTAAGTTTTCTTTTTTTTTTCTTTTCGTTTGAATTTCTCGTATGAACGAATAAATAGTATGTTATCAATTTGACTTGATAAATAAATGCGTTCATCTTTGAGTAAATGTAAATCCAACTGAGTTATAGAATCTTTCCATTGAAGCATTAATCGTTGGCATGATGTCTATTCTTCTGACTATTGTTGATAATAATTGATGAGTTCTATTACTAGATCAGAATTTCATTGAATCATGATCAATTAGGTGACTTCTTAGGCGTCCTGTGACGTTTCTCTGTTTCATATTCGTCATAGAATTATTCAATGATGATTTTGAAATAGAAATAAGAATTTTTAGATATTTGTCTTTGCATTAGCGATCAATGTTTGACATAAATATGAAAGATTTTCAATCAAATTAACAATTTACATTCAGTAAAACCTCTATATGTGAACACCCCTCCTTAATGAATACCTCGCTATTATGAACGTTTCTAGCTGGTCCTAAAAATCAATTTTTGCTGGAAATAGACCTCTCCTCTATGAACACCTCTTTATTATGAACGCTTTTTACTGGTCTCGAAGATGTTCAGATTAGAGAGGTTTTACTGAATGTATTAAGTAGCTTAGATTTTTTCTGATTTTGTTTCTTTTAAACAAGATTTTCTTTCTACAAGTCAAATAATAGAATCTAATATCTACATTAATCATACAGAAGGTAATTTTGTACTAATCTCAATAGAAGGTCAGTCTGCCTTGTAAGTTCATCTTTCTTAATTATTAAAGTGTTGTAATAGATGTCATAATGTAGTTGACATGCTGTCAAACAAATAATCCAAGAGATTAAGGTTAGTCTATGATCATATAGTATTAAGCTTTAAAGAAAGTTCTCTTTAAGTATGTAACGAATAATATAAAAATATTTAGCCAATGACAAATCTAAATTATAATTGATATAATACACAAATAATAGCATTTGAGATATTTTTATACTAGAATTATTATCAGATATATACATAATGTTATTTATATTTAAGAACTAAATAGTTTTATTCACATTTCTTGAATGTATTTAACCAAATACTATTCAATTGATAGACAAAAATAACTCAACTGAAACCTATCCTCAAAACCGCAATATTTTCAATCTATAATAATATTTAAAAGAAAAATCTTTTTATATTTATTTAATCTTTTCTTTGTATTCAAACTTTCGTAAATATCATAAATCTTGCTTACATGAATGTACATACGTTTCCATTGCAGCGTATACTAATCATTAAGTCTATAAACTTCTTTTGTTTCTCTATTTAATTTCTTTTCAGATCCGATTTCTAGCCATCATATTATAAAAAAAAAAAAAAAAAAGTAAAAAAAATCTGACACATGTTATCATCAAATAATTATATGACATTCTTTATTTTTTTTTCCAAACTATTCTAATGTCAAATATAATTATATCTTTGTATTACAAGAAAAACCATAAATCTTGTCATCATTAATATTTCGAAAAATTTGTCCTTTTTTTTTTGTGTTTTCGAAAAAAATTTTGTCTATTAGAATATGACAAAAAGAAAACAATCAGCATCAATAGATAGACACATTCAATGAGATTTTTTATACACTTAAAAGACAATAAACAAAAAACAAAACAAAAAGAAACGAATATGACACAAAGACATATACATAGTTAATTCTAATGAATTCTAAACAACAGCAACAACAAAAAAAAAAGAAGCAACAACAGCAGCAGCAGCAAGTATTGCGTAAAAAAAACTAAATGTGAAGCACGTGAAACAAATTAAGGGAAGAACTAAAACGCAAACATAAACAATGTCATGAAATGAAGCAAATGAAGTATATCGTCAACTATAGAAACAAAACAAAACAAAAAAAAAAGACATTAATGGCCACTTATTCATGGCAAAAGAAAAAAAATGAATGAAGAATTTACTCTCTCTCTCTCTCTTTTCTATCTCAACAAAGCGGTATAAATAGATAGATAAATAAATACATATCTCGAGCTCGGCTCTATAATATGTATTTAAAAGAAACCGCCTAGCAGAGATAGAAATATGAACTCGATGAATGAGAAATATATGAATACTTTTTGACACTACACAAGGAATTATTGATTAACCAAAGTATCACCGAGAAACATACACAGGAATATATCAATGACTATGATGTAGCATAAACCATACATCGTAATTTAGCTGTTTCTTGTTTTAATTGAGATACTTCAAGACGCAATTTAATATTTTCTTGTTCGAGAATAGCCGCTCTAAATATATAATACAAAAACAACATTAATAATTACTATTTTGCGACGAAAAAAAAGGTGAAAAAAGAATCAATTGATTTTACCGTATAGCAATTTCATCTTCTTTGGCTCGTCGTGCATCTCGACTACGTTTGGCAGCTTCATTATTTTTTCTTCTTCGTTCCCAATAAGCATCATCTTTAATTGTATTATTTGGATCATCACTATTAGTTGATAAAGTTGATGAATTATTTATATTATTATCTTCATTTGTTGTAGTATTTATATTATTATTTTCAGTTGTTGTATTATTTATATTATTATTTTCAGTTGTTGTATTGTCTTCATTAGTTGATGTAGTTTCCATAGTTCGATGTCGTTTTTTT